GCCGGTTCTTTATTTTGAAACTCAAACCAAAGGCTCTTTTCAGAGCCCCCTACTTTGTCAAAAACTGTTGTAACTCTTTCCGATTGCTCCCTTGGTGAAAGTAAGTTTCTCGTTTTCAAGCATACTCTGAAACTGTATTAGATGGATCCGCCGGTTTTTATAACAAAGAATCGGCTTTGGATTCATAGTAATTCTGTGTAATGTGTAACATTCCGTTACTTAGTCTTTCAAACTGCAGTTGTTTGAAGAGGGCACAGAATGGCTGGTAGGTATTAAAGATCAAAAGGGATACTATTGTTGAGATTTCCCTCTTTACATGCCTGCCGCCTTTTACATCCTTTTGGGGTTGAAAGAAAAGAGCAACGTTTACGATTTCCATCCTCAGCAGAGTCAAAGTCTAGGTGAATCAAGTGAAATGCATTATTTCTTTTTAATGGATCTCCAGCCCACTGGGTCGGCCCCAGTAGACCAAAAAGTAAATACAAACATGATTCCTTTTGAGGTGGAGAAATTGGTCTTCATGCCATTACATTATATGTTATCGAAGTGTCAAGTTCAAAATAATAAGCTGTCTCATTGTGAATTATTCTGATATATAACCATCAGTAAGGGAACGTCGGGAAGATGAACCTGGTTCAAAGCAATATAGGACATTATCAAGATCAGCAATAGTTCAAGAAAGTGAAGGAAACTAGGACAGTCTCCCCACAATATTCCTCTTTGACATAAAAATTGGGGGCTACAGGCAGGTAAGCAGCAATGACAGAAAAAGTGTTGTGGGCCCTTCCCCTTTTCCGCCTTAAGACAGGATATAAATTCTATACTGGAGACTCTTAAAAGCCCAGAGAGGGTCCAGAGGAAGCCGCAGACAAACCTTACTGTGAGCTTCCTCCCATATACCTACCTTGCCATGGTTTTCGGTCCTTCGAGGCCTAAAAATAAAACTGCCTTCCCTTGTCCAGTCATTTCTCCACACATTCTTTGTTGAAGACGCTGTGTAAGCTGCAGTGAGTGCTAAGGTACCTCTTCCAAGGGTTCTTCCCTGGGTTTCTCCCATGTGTACGCGAAATAAACACGTTAATAAACTTCTCATTGTTTGTATCCTGCTAATCGGTGTTTTGTAAAACGGGCCCCCGCCAAGAACCAAGATGGATAGAGGAAACACTCACCTCCCTTACAAAAGAATGAGGACTAGAATAAAACCAAAAGAGCACATTTAGATCCAGAAAGTGTTATTATTCTACAGCACAATTACAACCTTTAGATGATCTTTTCTAATGCCATAATTTTCATCTCCAACCGACAAAAATCACTGAAATTATCAACATCCTACAAGTTACCTAAATTCATAGATTTTTCACAGACACTGGACCCTAATAAGCAGTCTAACAGAAGCACATCCCCTTGAAATAACTTTAAAAAACAAAAACACTGGCAGGCCTTTTAAACTGCGCTCATATGAGACAATGTAAAGAAAATGCAGTCTATCCCTTTACCTTAATTAGATATTTGGATATTTCTTAATAGGTTTCAGATCTGTTCTGGTCTGTGACCAGAGTCTTTCCCTTGTCCTCAGTGACCTCATGCCTGATGATGAGTGTGCCTTCTCATTTGCGCTTTCCACCTCCCTGCTTACCAAGGATTTACCATGACACTGAGGGACTAGTGTTGAATTTCCCAGGCCTAAAGAAGTAGAAAGTACCAGCAGCTCTGTGACACCCTGTTTATCTCCAAGTCAGAGCCACATGACATCACTTGTTTAACTTGTTTCACAAATGTGAAATTGTGATTCAAAAAATATAAAATAAACATGTGACACAGAGAGTACTTAAATCATCAATGACTGAAAAGGGTAAAATGCTCTGAAAGGTTCAAAGAATATTGAAGAAATTAGGGTATTTATAAACAACTTAACACAGAAATATTGGAATAGGATTATTGAATGAGGTTAAAGCAAAATTAATAATGTCCAAGAAGCCATAAATCTTTGGAGTTAGAGCTGTTCCACCAGACAGAAAATACTTACAGCTCTACCAAATAAACCCCTGCTGAATTTGATACATTCAATCAATAGTAAATAGTGAGATGATCAAAGTCCATGGTCCTGCAATTCTTGTGTAGTCTTTAACCTTTTATGATACTAAACATCATGGCCCATCCTTTTGTTCCCTATTTCCAAGCCTCAGATAAAGTGTCGCATACTGTGAATCCTTACTGGAAAGAAATAAAAACATAGGACCTGCAAGATAAATTTCTATGAAACTGCATGATGTGACTCCTTGACATTGTACTCATCAATCAAATACACAGTAGACACTGTAACCTTTTATTGTTTCTAGACTCCAAACTGATTCACCTGATTTTCTTATCTGTCTCTCTTGGCCTTAGGTTCCAGAAACAGTAAACCATTCTCGGGCCTTCGTTTTCATGAGATGCTTTTACATTTGCACAGTGATTACTTTGCTTCTTTAAAAAAAAAAAAAAAAAAATAAGAGATTCTACATTCTCTTGTACAGAAGCTTAAGCTCTTTTGAACTATAATTGCATTAGCAAACATTTTTGGATGTTCTCTCTCTCAAAAAAGTATACTTTTGGAAAAAAAAATACTAGCATAGAACTTCAGGAAGTCTCCATCAGCCCGCCCTTAAAGAATTCTAAGGTTGACAATTTTTCGAGTTACCCCTCTTTTCTTGCTTTGATGGGTAATGTTTTCTTTGGCAAGCCTGTGTTCGCTCCCTAACATGATTTTATTTTTTTTATTTTTTTACAATGCTTCATTTGAGTTTGGGGCCAGTCTCTGGGCAACTGTATTTCTTAGAAACATAGATGGCCCTTGAACAAGGTTAGGGGTGCTGACCCCTTGCATAGTTGAAAATCTGGATAAAACTTTTGATTCCCCAGAACTTAATGACTAACAGCCTACAGGTGACCAGTAGTCTTATGGATAACATGAACAGTTGATAAACGCATACTTTGTATATTGTATTAGATATTGTATTCTTATAATAAGGTAAGCTAGAGAAAAGAAAATGCTATTAAGAAAATAGTATTTGCAAGTACATGGATGGAACTAAAGGCATTATGCTCAGAGAAATTAGTCAGAGAAAGACAGGTCTCATACGACTTCACGCATATGAGGAGTTTAAAATACAAAACCGATGAGCATAAGGGAAGGGAAGCAAAAATAATATAAAAACAGGGAAGAGGACAAAATATAAGAAACTCTTAAATACACAGAACAAACAGAGGATTGCTGGAGGGGTCGTGGGGGGGGGGATTGGCTACATGGGTAAAGGGCATCAAGGAAGACACTTGTTGGAATGAGCACTGGGTGTTGTACAGAGGGGCTGAATCACTGGAATCTACTGAAATCATTGTTGCACTGTATGCTGACTAACTTGGATGTAAATTTCAAAATAAAATAAAATAAATAAATAAATAAATAAATAAAAGTATACCTATAAAAAAAGAAAGAAAATCATAAGGAAGAGATAATACCGTTGCAGTGCTTTATTGTGTTTCCTGAAAACCAGTGTGCATATAAGTGGATCCATGCAGTTCAAACCCCTGTTATTCAAGGGTCAAACCTTACATTGAATTTCCACCATATTTCAAAGCGCATGATGGCAAGGTTGGGTGAAAAAATCAAGAAGCAGAGAGGGCCAAGGAAGAATCCTTGAGCAGCGCTGCCTATAGGAAATAATGCAAGCCACGTACGTTATCTTAAATTTTCCACTAACCACATTTTAAAAAGTGGAAAGATGCAATCATTTTAATAATATATTCTATGTAATCCTAAATCTCCAGAGATGTTTGTTCCAATCAATGTAAAAACATGAATAATGCAATATTTCGATTCCTTTTTTCATCCTAAATCCTCTAAACTGGGTGTATATTTCATCCAATCTGCTACTAAATTTTGATTGGAAATAACTTGATTTGCATTTCAATACCATAAACTTTACCGTTGGCAAATTGAGTTCACATGCCCACCTTGTTCAAACATACGCCAAATTTTCCAATAACTGAACAGAGTAATAGCTCTTCAATTTAAATTATTTAATATTAAAAATTCAGGCCCTCGCAGCATTAGACACATCCTGAATGCTCAAAAGAGGGTCCAGAGCACTTTATCAGACAATGCTTTCTTAAAAGGAATTGTGTTTGTGGTGTGAAGGTGGTGATGGAAGCTGGTGGTTAAATGGGAAAGTATATAAATTTAAATGTAGCCATGTAAGGGTAGCACTGACCTCGAAAAGCGAAGATTTGCCCATACATAGATATAGAGGTCATTAGGAAGAAAAACAAAAACAAAAACAAAACCTGAACATAAATCCAGATTACAAAATACCAGATTGAGGGATTTAAGAATATGGAGGGGCGACTGGGTGGCTCAGTCAGTTCAGAGACTGACTTCGGCTCAGATCATGATCACAGGGTCCATGAGTTCCAGCCCCGCATTGGACTCTGTGCTGACAGCTGGGAGCTTAGAGCCTGCTTGGGATTCTGTCTCCCCCTCGCTCTGCCCACCCCTGCTCAGGATCTGCGTCTCTCTGTCTCTCAAAAGTAAGAAAAAAAAAATTTAAAAAAAAAATTAAGAATATCGAGAAGGAAGGCAAGCCCTGGGGCAGGAAGACAGAATTTTCTCAGGCAAAGTGGCCGTCCCTGTGTCTCACACTGGACCTGACATTTACCCTTTGACTGCCAAACCATCTTTGTGATTAACATTTCCATCCTGCGGAGGAAGAACCTACAGTGAAAATGAGAGAACACAAGCCACAAAGCAGGACGTGGGCCTCAGAAGGTGAAGTGCAGGGAGTGCAGGCGGCAAGCCAGGGGACAGGCCTCCCCATGAAAAGCCCCCACCCGTCACACTCGTGTTCGTGTCAGGCTGCGGACTGCAGTTCTTTTCTCGCTCCCTAAGACCATCCTCCCAACGTCACTACTTGACCTCGATGTAAAGTGGACAAAACTGCTTGAATGGGAGGACAGAAGGGAAACACTCCAATACATTTCAGACATGCGACTAGAATTCAAACCAATGCCGAATTTCGACTGCGACTTGCCCGAGGTGTGTAAGGGTCCTCACAGTTCAGCCCGGAGAAGCAGATGTTAGCTTGACAGCTGCCATTATTTCGGTCCCTTGATTGGCCTGAGACGTTTCCTTACAGGCCCTTAAACAGAGCCTTCTTGCGTCTCCCCGGGTACGCGCGGCCTCGCGCACTTGTGGGCGGGGATAAACTCGCTGCCCCGCCCCCGGCCCCGCCCCCGGCCCCTCCGGCCCTGTTCTCAATAAGGTCCGCCAGAGGGTTATAAATGAGGATTTCGTCGCTGTGTAACCTAACTTCGCTGCTCTGTTTCACTGACCGGAGGACATGTCTGGTCGCGGCAAAGGCGGGAAGGGCCTGGGCAAGGGGGGCGCCAAGCGCCACCGCAAGGTGCTGCGCGACAACATCCAGGGCATCACCAAGCCCGCCATCCGGCGGCTGGCCCGGCGCGGCGGCGTCAAGCGCATCTCCGGCCTCATCTACGAGGAGACCCGCGGGGTGCTCAAGGTGTTCCTGGAGAACGTGATCCGGGACGCCGTCACCTACACGGAGCACGCCAAGCGCAAGACGGTCACGGCCATGGACGTGGTGTACGCGCTCAAGCGCCAGGGCCGCACCCTCTACGGCTTCGGGGGCTAAGACTTTGCGTACGAGCAGTGAATTCTTTGCCAACCCTAAAGGCCCTTTTCAGGGCCACCTATCCATGCACTAGAAGGAGCTAGCGACGCTGTTTATTTCCTTTTCGTGGAAACTGAGGTTACCGAACGTATTTTGCGATCTGAGTTCTATGACTTCCGTATAATTTAACCATGTTTACTCCTTGCCCGGGGGCATTAAACATCAAGGCAGCCATTCAGCTTTATGCTCACGGCCTTTGTCCATGGGTTTTTCTATTTTTCAGACGTGCCCACACTTCAAAGCTGCAATCCATTTATAGACAGACATGTCCCGAACATGAGATTGTACATTTTTCAAATCCAGTTGCTATCTGGAAATAAAGCTTGAATATGAACTGGAGGAAACACCATTAGCCTACTCTGTTCAAGGAAAAGCAAAGTGAGAATGCCCAGCTACTACGTGGTAACTAGGGGGAAGGGTTTGATGTGAGAAGCTTAGACCGAGCTGTAGACTGCGGCCACCTGTAAGCAAGCCTCCTAGGTGGCACGTGGGGACTTTTTCGCCCCTTCTCTCCCTCATATTTGGATTATGTAAAATGATTGCCAATAAAATGTATTTAAGCCACAATGATTTGGGGGTTTGTCTTAACCTTGTCACATCTATTCCCTGATATTCCATAATAAAAGCAGCAATGTTAAGTCCTCTCACAAACCCGCCGGTGCCTCCTTTAAAGCCAGAAAGGGAGCTACACAGACACCTAGCCCCGTGCTAGGGCTCAACCACCTGCAGTGGTTTCTGATGTCCACACTTACAGAGGAAGGAGGGAGGAGGTCTCCAAGATGATAACCAGGCAAATTGTCTTCTCTGTCTTCACTTCACGAGAAAGTCACTGGCAGTAGCCTAATTAAAAGCACTTCAAGGTATTTGTAGCCTTTGTCTTTACCTCCTAGCATCAATTCCTGCCTCCAGGCAAATTGAACTAGAGTAATGAAGGGACAGGGGAAAAGAAGGAAAACCGTTATGTTAGTGAACTTTCTTTGGGTTCTTAGCCTTGATTTTTCTTGATGGGTCCTGTGATGGCCTCGTAGGGTGTCCACCAGGATTCCCCCTCCTGGTGCTCACCCTTGTGATCTAGCCCCCTTGGGTGTGAACATGACTTGTGACTTATTTCCAACCCACAGAGTACTACAAAGGTGACTGGATGTAATTTTTCTGTATATGATTATTGTTAACTGACGTGTATGTTGTGTAATATCTATCCTCCTTGACTTTAGCATGCTGGCTTTGACGGACCAAGTATCCATGGCAGCATGCACAAACGCCAAGAAACCCAGGGGCTCTTTAGGAAGTGAGGGAGGCCTAAAACCAAAAGCCTACAACCATTCAAGCCAACAGCCAGCAAGAAAGAAAATGAATTCCTCAGCCCTACAAGCACAAAGAAACAAATTCAGTTAAGCAGTGAGTTTGGAAGATGATATTTCCCCACGCAAGCATCCAAGAGACCTCTATCCGAGGTAACATCTCAATAGCATCCTGATCTAGGACTCACCTAAACTCTGCCCAGACCCACAGGAACTCACACTGTACATGTGTATTGTTTTAAGATAGCAAATGCAAATGAATTGTTGTGCAGCAACAGCTAATGCAGTTAACTAACACACTTAGCATCTTCAATCAGTGTTCCATCTAAGATAACATAACATGAACTGAAACTGCAATCATTATCTAATGGAAGACATACGTTTTAAAAAGGAAAAAAAGGGGGGGGGGGAACAAACCTATAATGGGAATATTCCCTTTGACAACTGTATCTCCAACATAAGTATACATAGGTCATGCATTGCAGGCTTCCCTAATACCAAGCCTATAAACAATGACATGCTCAACAGCAATACATCTAACTCATTTTACTTTCAGCAGCACAAAAACAAACCGTCTACTTTTCCATAATTAACACATGAAACCCAATGATTTTCATCCATATCTTCTGTGATCCCTGCATACTTAGATCTTTTCTTATTTTTGTTTCATTTTAGTTTTTCTCCGTCTAAATGAATACAGAACGATACAGCAAAGGCAAGAAAAGAAAAACCATGTAAAAGTGGATCAAAATTAGGGTTTAGGAAAATGACTCAACATGCTGTGCAGTTGATTACATCAATAACATACAGGCAAAATAAAATGGATGATAAATTCATTGTAACGTACATTTGAAGAATTGTCGAAACGGTCTACAATAGATGCTATGATTAAATTCTGCAGTTCAGTAATACCCATGCCTAATTTAGATCTATTATGGGATGAATGACATTCAGAGTTTGGTGTCCTGTGCAAAATAATTTCTCATTGCACGAGTTGGCCTTTGTGAAATACATATAATTATGTTGTTATAATGTGGGCATTGTAATGAAAACAAATAACCAAAGTACATGTACTTAAGTACAGACAACTGTAAGTTACAGACACCCAGTGTGAAATTATTTTAAAGTCTAATGATTGAACAAAGAACCAAGTAAAAATTTAAAGAAATCACACAAAAACTATTCTTTCAGGGCTTTAGCCAAATTCCTACTATACACATTTCACATAATCTATGTGGCTCTAAAGATTAACATAAGTTCCAATAAACATCTCATACTATAACAGTTCTCACATCTTATGGAAACAGGTCTGTAAAAAGACAAAACATGCTTTTAAAGCCAGTTGAGGAACCTTGCTATTACAACTCTTTATATGCAAAAGTGAGTGGCTCTGAAAAGAGCCTTTGGGGTTGGTTAACAAGAAGCTTACTTGGCAAGTCTACTTGGAGCTGGTGTACTTGGTGACGGCCTTGGTGCCCTCGGACACGGCGTGCTTGGCCAGCTCTCCGGGCAGCAGCAGGCGCACCGCCGTCTGGATCTCCCGGGACGTGATGGTCGAGCGCTTGTTGTAATGCGCCAGGCGCGACGCCTCGCCCGCGATGCGCTCGAAGATGTCGTTGACGAACGAGTTCATGATGCCCATGGCCTTGGACGAGATGCCGGTGTCGGGGTGCACCTGCTTCAGCACCTTGTACACGTACACCGAGTAGCTCTCCTTCCGGCTGCGCTTGCGCTTCTTGCCGTCCTTCTTCTGCGCCTTGGTCACCGCCTTCTTGGAGCCCTTCTTCGGGGCCGGGGCCGACTTCGCTGGCTCAGGCATGATAAACAATACCAAAAGCAGAAGAGTTGTGACCAACAAGGAAAAGAGTGAGGGGGGAAAAAAAAAAATCCCCGAGTATTTATATCACGTATATGCAAATGAGGGTCCAAAAGTCTGAATTTTGATTGGACCAAAACTGACCAATAGATTAATAGCATGCAAAAGCAGCGTTGCAAACCTGCTTTTTTATTGGACTAAAAAACTAACTCTTCCAGAGAATCCAATAGGTTAATTTACAATACCGCTTTATTGCTCAAAGTGCATTCACCAAAAATCAAACAGAAAAGAAAAAAGAAAACCTCTCAATAAAACCTTATTTTAAATTATGAAAGTAGAAACTTTCGAACTGGCACGCGAAAACGGGGGAAGGAAATTCTATTATATAGCCCAGTAGAGTCCTAACTACTGCTCCTTTGGGTTTGTCATAAATTATCCAGGACACCTCGGGTCTCTTCTGACAAGAATCATGATATGCTAGACTATTATCATTAAGGTATGTTGCAAAAGACTCTCGATCACCGCCATCTTTTTCAAGTTTCAGCATTGCAAACGTTTTCCTCAATGCTCACCCCATTAGACCCCGACTGACATTTTAAATCCATTAAAACCAAAAACATCAGAGTCCAATCACCAGTTTGAGTCAAATACGGTATTAAAAAGAACGAGGGGCTCCAAAACATTGGAATTTTAACGTGCGAATCCGGAAATATAAAATTCCTTATGTGTTAACATTATGTCCTAGACCATACTGGAGTGAACTAGATATTTGCTGTAAATAAAATGAAGTGGAACTCATGAGATATTATACAGTGGGATTTTCAAATAGGACAGGAAATACCTTCCGGATGAAAACGAGATAACTATGCAGAAAATGGCGGATTTTTTAAAGAGAAATTCTCAAGTACTGTCTTGTTTCAAGAACACCGTACTTTGTATAGACAAACAGAAGAAAAATTCAACAGAATTGTTTACGAGAATTATGGAGTTTGTCGGTCCTATTTGTTGTGTGCCAAGCATCACAAGGGAAACAAATAGCTTAGTGATTTTTTTTCTCCCAAGGGGGCCGGGAACAAGTCGGTTAATTGAAATTAACCAATCAGAAACTAGCACGGAACAGATTAAACCAATGCTAAATCTCAGGGAGCACTTCCGGAATGGAGCTCCAGTTGACTCACCGGGATTGCCCACAATCCAATCAGAGTGATCCTCCCCCTGTATAAATGCAGGGGCGAGCTGTTGCCCTGGTTTCCTGACTTTGCAGTTAGGCCATGGCTCGCACGAAGCAGACGGCGCGCAAGTCGACGGGCGGCAAGGCCCCGCGCAAGCAGCTGGCCACCAAGGCGGCCCGCAAGAGCGCGCCGGCCACCGGCGGCGTCAAGAAGCCGCACCGCTACCGGCCCGGCACGGTGGCCCTGCGCGAGATCCGCCGCTACCAGAAGTCCACCGAGCTGCTGATCCGCAAGCTGCCGTTCCAGCGGCTGGTGCGCGAGATCGCGCAGGACTTCAAGACCGACCTGCGCTTCCAGAGCTCGGCCGTGATGGCGCTGCAGGAGGCGTGCGAGGCCTACCTGGTGGGGCTCTTCGAGGACACCAACCTGTGCGCCATCCACGCCAAGCGCGTCACCATCATGCCCAAGGACATCCAGCTGGCGCGCCGCATTCGCGGCGAGAGGGCGTAAACTTGATTTCCGGATTCTGTGCCAACTTTGAACCCAAAGGCTCTTTTCAGAGCCAACCACTCTGATCTATAACAGATGCCGTGACACTTAAACAAGTAAGTTCCATTGCTAACCGAGCTCAAACTTGTAGCAGGCCTGAAAGACATTTAGGGCTGTCTTAAATTAAGCGCTCAAGCCTTTGGTCTCCTGAAGTTTTCCTAGTGTGTTTAGTTACATGGTTTTACTTTCAAACCCCTATTTCTCTGTATGTTGCATAGGTCTGACAGGTTTCGTTCTGGCTCTAGGATTTATGAGTTTTATTCTAAACTTCGAGTATGGTCTGTTGCACCTTTTTGGTATTGTGACCGTTCCCTTGCCTCTTCCATCCTACAGGCTCTTTGACTTTTGCAACGTTACTTGGCGCTGTTCGAGGGGTGGCCCGTTGTGTCTTTGGGGGCCTGGGCTGAGCCTTCAAGGCTTCTGGTTATTTCTCCCAGGGTTCACCGTGTTGAACTTAGAGAATCCCAAGGCCCCAGAACCCTTGGTCGGCACTTAGCTGAGCAGAATTTGGGGACCCAAATCACTAGCAACCGCCAGACCTATGAAAGGTGATCAAAGATCTCCCCCTAAGCCTCTTAAGGGGAGCCAAGGCTTGGGTTATTAGCTGGAGCACAAAAAAGTAAGAGGGTAGCGTTTCCTGAGAACTTGCCGTCTATCCTTCCCGGTATATCTACCAGACTAAACAACCCAACCAAGAGCGGTTTGGGTGGGTCTCAGAAAGTACCTCTGGAAATGAACGCAGGGATGAGGATCCTTCCAACTGACGCTTTTTTTTTTTTAAGGTTTTAAGGAATTTCTACACCTAAATTGGGGCTCGAATTTACAACGCAACAGTCGAGTTGCATGGTCTATGGACTGAGCCATTCAAAAAGGCACTTTTGGTTTTCCTAAATTCTCTATCTTACTCTCGATTTAAATCTTATGAGACTACCTCATATTTATCAGTAAAACATGACAATCCTTTGGAAGCTGGAGAGCTTTCTTAAATTATTCTGTTCCATGCCTATAAGAAAATGGTTTGATGCTATTATTAAACAGATGTTCCTTTTCCATGAAAATAACAGGTTTCTCAATTTTCTAAACCGGTAACTGAATAGCAGGGAAATCAGGAATTATGTTCTAAAACTATTCAGGGCGTTATTTGGAAATGTAGAAGGATGTTTACTAATTGGGATACACATACTACTTGGAAGGATTTCATCTCATGTATTTAAACGCTTCGGCAAATTTGAGTTTGAGATAGGAAAAGGTATCCTTAACTATAGAATTGAGAAGCTTCTATCAAAAAAAAACCAAAAACTTTTAATGGACTGTTTCACCTTGAGGGTCACTAAGGAAAGGGACTACTGGGGTGGAATACTTAACATTGACAAAGCTATACATAAAGTGCACAGACAAGTCAGCCATCGTAAAAAGTCCTAGAGGTTTTATGGACGAAATTTTTGTTCTTGCAACTCTTTCAGACAGTGAGACTTGGGGATTTGGGAATAGAGAACTCTGGATCCATATGGAAAAGAGCTTGGCTATCCATAGCTAAAATCAGTGGAGTGTTTTATATGTGTAATGTTGGATAAAAGCATTCATATTAGAGTGTGGTTTCCTACTTCCTTTGAAATTCTAGCACAGTGAGTTTTTTAATCTGTGTTCTGTCTCACCGGATGTTGGTCATCAGGATATGAGGACCCAGTGGGCACAGAAAACATCTTTTTATGTCATTAAATCCACCAGACTATGTAGAATGGTCCTTCGCCTGAACAAACCTTCAGAAAACTTCTTAGTTAAATTGGAATTTAAAAAAATTATTGCACAAACAGATTACTGTTTACTACAGTCCTGACTATAGAAATAAAACATTAGGGGCACGTGGGTGGCTCAGTCGGTTAACTGAAGTCGGTGTCCAACTTCGGTTCCAGTCATGATCGTTCGGTCCATGAGTTCAAAGCCCCACATTACGCTGCGTGCCAACAGCTCAGAGCCTGGAGTCTGCTTTGGATTCTGTGTCTCCCTCTCTGCCCCCCCCTGCTCGCACTCTGTCCCTCTCAAAAATAAATAAACATTTTTTAAAAAAATGGTAGAGTTTGTGTAATTTTCATATACAATTTTCCTAAGTAGAAATAAATTTATTGAGTGGTTACAATGGGCCAGAAGTCAGGCATAAGGTTCCACAATGTAAGAAAAAATAGTAGTACTTGGTATCAAATTGCTTTTAATGAATTTTTATTTTATTGGAGAAAGATCACAAATTATGACTCAGGTCACATTTCATATGTACCTACTGGTAATTAAGTCGTATATGCATTTCGGGTTTATCTGGTTGCCTGAAACTACATCACTTTTCTTCACTGAATAATCTCCGAATGACCAGGAACTTTCTCTTATAGAAATGATAGCTATGGGGCGCCTGGGTGGCGCAGTCGGTTAAGCGTCCGACTTCAGCCAGGTCACGATCTCGCGGTCCGTGAGTTCGAGCCCCGCGTCAGGCTCTGTGCTGATGGCTCAGAGCCTGGAGCCTGTTTCCGATTCTGTGTCTCCCTCTCTCTCTGCCCCTCCCCCGTTCATGCTCTGTCTGTCTCTGTCCCAAAAATAAATAAACTTAAAAAAAAAAAATTAAAAAAAAAAAAAAAAGAAATGATAGCTAAAATCAAGACAATTCAGAAGTTTTATTTCATTTTGCATACACTTCCTACCGCAACTGGCAGCAGAGAGATATTCATTTTTTATATCTGGAGATTTTTTTTGCCATGAAAGCATTATAAATATTTTTGGTTTTCTTTTTGTAGTAACCCCAACACCTTCGGCAGCATAGCACGAGTCAGAAAGTAAGGGAGGTAATACTTAAGTCAAGCCATGGGGAAGAGGGGCATAAAAGGGGCAGAGAGATTTATTACTCTTGGCTTCCTTCATAGAAAGACAGAAAATAAAATTACTAATTCTGATTAATATCTGGGGATAATCCCACCTATTGGACAGGATTAAAAACTCAGTCAATTAAAATGAGATATCGCCTCACACTTGGCAGAATGGCGAAAATCAAAAACACCAGAATCAACAGGTGCTGGCTAGGATGTAGAGAAAAAGGAGCCCTCACGCACTGTTGGTGGGAATGCAGATTAGTGCAGCCACTGTGGAAAACAGTATGGAGGTTCCTCAAAAGGTTAAAAATAGAACTCCCTTAAGGCCCAATAATCCCATTACTGGGTATTTATCCAAAAGATTTTTTAAAAAACACTAATTCAAAGGGGTATAGGCATTCCTTTGTTTATTGCAGCATTATTTACAATAGCCAAACTATGAAAGCAGCCCAGGTGTCCATGGATAGATGAATGAATAAAGTAGATGTGGTATATAGACAATGGAATATTATTCATCCATAGAAACAGAAGGAAATCTTGCCATTTGGCAACAACTTGGATGGAGCTAGAGAGTATAATGCCAAGCGAAATAAGTCAGAGAAAGACAAACACCATACGATTTCACTCCCATGTGGAATTTAAGAAACAAAACATGAACAAAAGGGAAAAAAGAAAGAAAGACCAGCCAAGAAGCAGACTCTTAACTATAGAGAACCAACTGGTGGTTACCAGAGGCGGGGGGTAATGGGTTAAATCGAGACTGAGGATTAAAAAGAACACTTATGGGGAAAAAAAACAACAACAACAACAAAAAAAACCTTAGTCAATTGAAAACACAAACCTTAGAGTAGTGGAAAACCATGACTGAGGCCCTAAGGTGTAGTTTAATGAGAGAAAAGAATAGAAGCATTAAAAATTTGCCATTGATAATAATGGCACCCAATTGTTAAATGTCATCAAAGCACATTATCAGAGGCTAGACATGTTAACTAGGGGAATTTATTCAAGGAGATGGAACTTGAGATGGAATTGGGAAAACTCTCCCAGGCAGAGAGGAGAGAATGGCAGGTGAAGAAAGTTGTTTTAAAAAAAGAGAAAGAAAAACAAAAGAACAAATGAGAAGGCACCGAAAAGAAAATTGGAGTTGTTATTAGCGCTAGTTAATGCAAGCAGAAAGTATTATTATGAAAACAAAAAATTGACGGCAAAGTTCCCACCTGAACCTAAGGCAATGGGAAGCCAGCCACCCTTATGCATAAGACAAATCACAGAATGACCAGAATTGCAGAGTTCGGGGCTGGAAAAATTAGAATTAGGACCCTGGGTAGGAAACAGTAGAATCATCCCAAGACGGAGAAGCTACAGAGAGCATGTGAGAAAGGCAGAAAGATGACTTACCGAGACTCTACATAAACATCAACCTGATTTAGTGACTGAGTGACAGGAACACTTGGGGCCTCAATACAGTGACAGGAATTCAGTGTGCCGCCTCCCGTTATAAGAAGGCAGGAAATTACTAAGCAGAAGGAGAAAGTGGTTACTTCAGACTGGTCCTGAAAATTGTATTTATATTGATTGATTGATTGATTGATTGACTGGTTGTGTGCTTCTGAGAGAACTACTCACAGGGGCTCCTGTCTGATGTTTGCCATCTGTAAGTGTCAATCTCTCAGGTTTTTCTAAACCTGGGCTTTTGCAACAATAACGGACAGACCACCTTGGTTCACCAAGAGAGCATCAGAAACCCAAGCATGAGCATTTCAAGAGACCCTCAAGGGAGACCGTCCCAGGGACGTGGTCAGTGATGAAACACGGTGACTGGGAATGAGCTTCCTGTTCCCTCGTCCTCTGGGTGCAGAACACTAAGACAGCGGTGGTCTTCCTTACCCAGGACGTTAGCTGTAACAAAAATTGGGGGAGATGGGAAAAGATTTAAATAAGTTCTGATGCCTGTGAAAACCCTGTCCTGTCCCAGGGAAAGGAATCCGAATACGAATATACGGAAACCATAGAAAAACTAGGACCTTGATTAAATCATACTTAGCTGTGTCTGAGGCATTCCAAAGGGCTTGTGAAGTAGTTAAGTCACAACGGGCCTGAAAAAGAATTACAATAACTCTACTACCTTCTGGACGAGGCTGAAAATGAAACCAAGAACTCCACTCCCTTTGTAGCTGATACAATACATGGGGCACACGACGAAGTAGAAACAAAGAAACTTGTACTTGAGACCCAGGTCCACCGTTCGGTGACAAGCCAATTCTGGGCAGATCATCCTTCCAAGCCACAATTTTCTTTTTCTTTTCTTTCTTTTTTTAATTTATTCTTCAGAGAGAGAGAGAGACAGAGAGAGAGACAGAGAGAGAGAGAATCGCAAGCAAGCTCCACACTGTCAGCACGGAGCCCAGCCCAGGACTCGACCTAACCTGAGCTGAAACAACAGCTGAACGCTTAACCAACTGAGCCACCCAGGCACCCTCAAGCCACAATTTTTTTTTTAACTGTGAAACCAGCATTTTAACTATACCTAATGCAAAAGCCTCATAGGGAGGTGGTGACAGAGCGCCCTGTAAACTGTAAGGAACTGCAGAGACACTCGTAGTCATTTTGACCACTCACTGAATGCCCCGTGCTGGCCTCATTCTCTGATCCCACCTGGCTCTGCATCAGAAGTGAGCTCTCTCATCCTGTGTTCGAGAAAGCGCACGGGTCTCTTGCCACTTCTCTTTTCCGATCCATACAACCTCTTGTCTTCAAAAAGATTCTTTTGAGTCAATATGTCACATTCCCCCATTTATCCAGATCTCATCCTCAAACAAGTCACTGTCATAAAGAGTTTGGGGGGGCTCTTTCTGGAAAGAAGAAATTATGAGCTGCAGCTGTGATTCGGAAAAGTTGAACCCCTGCTTAGAACAGCTAGGAAGAGGGGCGCCTGGGTGGCTCAGTCGGTTGAGCATCCAACTTCGGCTCAGGTCATGATCTCGCGGTCATTGAGTTCCAGCCCTGCGCTGGGCTCTGTGCTAACAGCTCATTGTCTGGAGCCTGCTTCGGATTCTGTGTCTCCCTCTCTCTCTGCCCCTCCCCCACTCACGCTGTTTCTCTCTTTCAAAAAGTAAATGAACATTAAAAAAAAAAAAAAAAGAACAGCTAGAAAGATACTCTCGGATACATCCCCCAGGCCTGTTTTAACAAAGTTTGAAAATAATAAATGTTAATAAGCTATTAAGCCGTAAGCGTAGGGGAGGAAGGCTGCAAATCAAGAAACAAAGTCAAAAGGGACTTGAACCTTGAGTAATCTGTGCCCACTGGAGATGTGATCGGCAGTTTCTGAGTTCTTTCCTGCTATGGACTCTACGGACGGTCTGAGGAAATCTGGACACCTTCTCCATACTTAAAGCATACTGGATAAGAAATCGACATTAAAATGCAGTTATCAAAGTGTATTTCTTTTAAGGATGTGTATGCAATGATGTGTTTCATCAGGGACACATCAAATCACAAGGGGCACCAGGTGTAATGATGAATGTCAGTGCCAAGAGCTCAGAGGAGGGCAAACTTCATTTCAAAATACCTTCAGTACTTGAAACTGATAAGAAAACGTCTGTGGTTGTCATTACTGGAAAAGCCACAGGCACTAGCAAAATGCATTGTGATTAGTTGCCTACACACATAATTGAGGGAAATGCCAAATTGCATGTACTCCTTGAGAAAATAAAGATGTTTCCCCATCCACCTTTACAGCCCCATAATGATCAGATTTTTGCCGAGATTTCCCAGTAAAATCAAGTGGACTTCCTTGAAATTAAATAAGTAAATAAATAAATAAATAAATAAATAAATAAACCAACCAACCCACCTCGGCCCTGGTAGAAGATCAACCCATGTAGAATCCAAATGTTTTGCTCTGGTCACCGCAACTCCAACTCCGGGAACTTTCTAACAAACCACGCAGACTCCCAGAGATTTTTCTTTTATTGCGCTTCACCCTTTCTATTCTTTCATTATTCAGCATAAATATTCAAGCCAACCATGCCTCCCTGGGACCTCTCAGCAATCCAGGGGAAGCAAATCTGGCAGAGAGGATGAATAACAAACCACGAGAGAAGACTTTTACCCTTTTTAATGATCCTTAGCCTCGGGGTGCTAAATAATTATTCGGCTTTAGAGGAGAATAGCGTGAATAGTGCCCCAAAGGAGGCCTCAAACTTACCAAGGGGGAAAAAACAAAACAAAACAAAACAAAAAAACAAGATTTTCTACTGCTCCACAACATATACAAGTTTTAATGTCAACCTCTAACTGGCGCAGTATTTTTCTACCACTGGGGGCACAGCAAGTCAAGAGTACCTTCTGATTGGCTAACTCAGAACAACATCTGCAAACCAATGGGAAAGAAACATTAGGAAACATCCAGTGACTATAATAGCCCCTTCTTCAGACCGGCTTTTTACACAACAGCCCCTTCTCTAAACACGTGTGGGCGCGGGAAACGGGGCGGCAAGGCTCGCGCCAAGGCCAAGACGCGCTCGTCGCGGGCCGGGCTGCAGTTCCCGGTGGGCCGCGTGCACCGCCTGCTCCGCAAGGGCAACTACGCCGAGCGGGTCGGGGCCGGCGCGCCGGTGTACCTGGCGGCCGTGCTGGAGTACCTGACGGCCGAGATCCTGGAGCTGGCGGGCAACGCGGCCCGCGACAACAAGAAGACGCGCATCATCCCGCGCCACCTGCAGCTGGCCATCCGCAACGACGAGGAGCTCAACAAGCTGCTGGGCCGCGTCACCATCGCGCAGGGCGGCGTCCTGCCCAACTGCTGCCCAAGAAGACCGAGAGCCACCACAAAGCTAAGGGCAAGTGAGGAGTTACCCACCCCAAACAGTCAAAGGTTCTTCTCAGAGCCACCAACCAAACTTCTCCTCGAGAACTGTAGCCCTAGTGACAGCTTACAGATTAGAATTGCAGGGAGAGGCGGCAGGTCCCTCTAGAGCCACGGAATTCGAAAGCCGCGGACCAATCACATGCTCCGGCGGGAGTATTTGAACAAGAGGGGAGGAAGGAAACTAAAAAGGCTGACGGATGAGTGTAAAGACGAAACAGAAAAAAGTACCTTAAAGATACCAGTTAAGCTCTTCCACTTGAAATAGTTGGGTGGCTCTGAAAAGAGCCTTTGAGAATTCGGAGGCAGGACATGCCGCTACAACCTTCACTTCTTCTTAGGCGCAGCTTTCTTTGCCTTTGTCGCCTTAGGCTTGGCAGCTTTGGACTTGGCCGCTTTGGGCTTCGGGGCCTTGGCCTTGGAGGGGCTCTTGGCCGCCTTCTTCGGTTTGGCCGCTTTCACCTTCTTCGGGCTCTTCGCCACTTTCTTGCCCGCAGCCGCCGCCGCCGCCGCGGGCTTCTTCGCCTTCTTTGGGGTCTTCTTGGCGCTCTTCTTGGGGGTGCCGGCCCCCGCGGTCTTCTTGGCTTTCTTGGCCGCCCCGGCAGCCTTCTTGGGCTTGGCCGCGCCCGCCTTCTTGGCTTTGGGCTTGGCCTCCCCGGACGCCGCCTTCTTGTTGAGCTTGAACGAGCCCGAGGCGCCGGTGCCCTTGGTCTGCACCAGGGTGCCCTTGCTCACCAGGCTCTTGAGGCCCAGCTTGATGCGGCTGTTGTTCTTCTCCACGTCGTAGCCGGCGGCCGCCAGCGCCTTCTTGAGCGCGGCCAGGGACACGCCGCTGCGCTCCTTGGAGGCGGCCACGGCCTTGGTGATGAGCTCGGACACCGGCGGCCCGGACGCCTTGCGCTTCCCGGCGGCAGCGCCGCTCTTCTTCGCTTTCTTCTTTACAGGTGCCTTCTCTGCGGGTGCAGGCGCCACAGGAGCGACTGGCGCGGTCTCCGACATCCTTCCGCGTTGCCAACTAAGACAAAAAGTAAACTCAAACTGTCAGGGCGGCACGTCTCGGAGGCCGGCGGCGGGGGGTTTATATAGCGAGTGGCTGAGTGATGATTGGTTGCCTGCGCCGTGCGCCGCGCGGCTCAGAAGGGCTCCTCCGCTCTGCAGTGTGGCTGTGTTTCTTTCCCCTTAAAAAAGAAGAAAAACGTAAGAAATCTGGGCATGAAATAATTAGAGATTTGGGGGAAACGGATCCGAGAGTGTTCAGGCTTCATCCCTGCCTTATTTGCTATCCCTAGTTTCAAAACCAGTACCCTGAAACTTTCCTGATTCCCCCAACTCTCTTTAAAACTTCGGTCAAATTGAGACAACTTTCAGATTTTCCTTAAAAATACTATTTCTCTCTGTTCCCATTGCACGCCTGTCTTCCAGGACATGGATCTGCACATTCTTTTCTTTGCAAATTTATATAAGTAAGCTCATTTTTATTCGAATATACAAGGAAAAACGCTTTTTTCTCGCGAGCAGTAGCACAACTCTCCCGCAGTTGTTTGCACTAAGCCCTGGGAATTGGCAAAGGGATAGAAAATTCTACGTACAAGATGGATAACTATTTTTTTTAATAGAATCTTTTTTAAGTCTTTGAGTGACCAGTGTGTAAACTGGATTTGATCCCCGTATTTGGGCGATTTAAACATTTCAGGAAGGATGGGGGGCGAGGTGGCTCCATGGGTTTTCCAGATAAACAGTTCTTAATAGCAGCTTTCCTAAAATAGTACTATAATAGGTTTTTCAGACCTCGGATCGGCATTATAGATCAACTGCAAAGAGGAAAAGAGAATCATGAAACAATAGAATGGCGGGTCTACATCATATGAGTTGAAGAATAGAAAGTTACCTGTTTATATCCCATCCGTCTCCTTGAAACTAAATTACTTAATGACAGACAGCCTAAGACTTTTTAACTCCAATATTTAACATAGAATTTTGTACATGTCTCCTGTATTTCAAAATGAAATTTAAAGTGCAAATGTTGGGGGCGCCTGGGTGGCGCAGTCGGTGAAGCGTCCGACTTCAGCCAGGTCACGATCTCGCGGTCCGTGAGTTCCAGCCCCGCGTCGGGCTCTGGGCTGATGGCTCAGAGCCTGGAGCCTGTTTCCGATTCTGTGTCTCCCTCTCTCTCTGTCCCTCCCCCGTTCATGCTCTGTCTCTCTCTGTCCCAAAAATAAATAAACGTTGAAAAAAAAATAAATAAAAAAAATAAAGTGCAAATGTTATTTGACTGTTTTTCACCATTGCAAGTAGGGACACAAGATTAGAAAGAAAAAAATGTCATTGAAATCACTTTCTGCACTTTCATAATTCTCCCTGGGCTTTTGACTAACAGACTATGAACTACGCTGTGACAACCTAACTTACTTGGCTACCTTTGCCCACCAAAGGAGTTGAACAAACATTTCACGGCAGGTATGACCCACTTTATTATTCCATCTCTTGTAGTTTGCAACACAACAGAGCGAATGAAATTGGGTAAATATTGGATAATGAAACACAAAGTTAATATTATCAACCAAATAATCAGATAATGAAATTAAACTACATGCTTGTGAAAGTAAATATTTTGGTGTTATGTTTCTTCTAACAAATATCCTTCTTTCCAAAAATGTAGTTATTCCAGCTTCCATCCAATGATGATTTAAGAATTTTCTCACATAAACCCAAAATAGGATAATCAGTTTTAAAGATGTCATCTCTCCATACTTAACTAATTTCATAAAAGTCACTTGGCTTATTTTTAATGAGTCAGGTATTGGCTGGCACTGACTGAATACAAGTCTGTGGGACTTGAGCCCGTGTTATATACCAAATACAAATACTGTGTATAAAGAGGTAAACTTACAGGATGGAATATGCAGCATTTAGTTCTCCCTCGGCAGGCATTTTAGGAGTGTCTAAAAGGGACTGTTTGTCGTCCTCTATAGCGTCATTGGCGATAGCAATGGCCCCAAACATTTTACAGGCCCTTTTCAGACCGGAGCCTACTAGCTAATATCATCTAGACCTAAAGATAGAATTTAAATTGAGATTTTTAAAAGTTTACCATTTGGGTCATCATGGTAGTCAAAACATCAATTGTTGAATAATCAGTGGAATTGGCCCCTAGGTTGCAAAGACTCAATTTCAGATAGGTGAAAAGTGGGGGCCTGGGTGGCTCAGTCGGTTGAGCATCCAACTTCGGCTCAGGTCATGATCTCACGGTTTGTGAGTTTGAGCCCCGCTTCGAGCTCTGTGCTGACAGCTCAGAGCCTGGAGCCTGCTTTGGATTCTGAGTCTCCCTCTCTCTTTCTGCCCCTCCACCACTCATGCTCTCTCTCTGTCTCTGAAAAATGAATGCACCTGAAAAAGAAAATAGGTGAAAAGTTCCTACAGCAGATGTCACCACTGCATTCTTGTACAACTCTTACTGGTTCGCACATAAGGGAGAGGACATCAGGGCTATTCCCTTAATTGTAGGTAACATCTGCCCTTCCTAGAGAAGCAATAGTTGAGACTTGATTTCACCTGAAAAGTTCTTCCCCAAATGTTTAGACAAGGATGGGGTTTGGCTGTTCTAGTTACTTCTACTGTCTGAGACCCAGGTACTTATCCTCTCTGTAACTGTAGCATGGACGAGGATCTAGAAAGCTGGCTCACCCCCAGGTATTATACACTTGAAACGTCCCCCCTTTTATTTTCGTAGCCCACACAAAAAAAGTTGCGTTTATTACTTTTGAAGCCCAAATCTGCATATATGTTAAAACAATTGATTTTTCCGTTAGACCGAGACCTGAACCGTTTACTTTATACATGTAAAAATAACTGAGAGGAACTCCAGTTAGATGGGTGATGGGTAGCTCACTTATGAATTCATGTTCTCCCCATTTTGGTGTTAACCTCCCTCTCCTCATAGTAAACCACTGTGAGAGGTCTAGATAGTGCTCAGCAGGTCAGCCCACAGCAGCTATGCTTAAATGTTCCAAAATTCAGTGAATTTCGAAGTTCAGGGAGAAAAGGGACTATGTTGAATAAATACCAAACGAGTGAATTAAAAAGAAAGGCTATATAGCAGATAGAGCATTGTGTTAGAACCAGATGTGTTCAGAAGGACCACAAGAAATCACATCTATTTTAATTTCCTATCACGATGATCTCATCTGAGGACACTCTCCCACTTGAAACTCCTCTCCAAGGTGAACCATATCTCATTGTATTTCCTCAGAAGCGCACTACGATGTCAAAGTTGTATGACAATTTCCTTTTTATATGTTCTTCTCTATCTAGATCTGGTATACCCAGAAGGTGCCTACGCTCTATCAAACTTTGAAAATATTCCAACCCCCACTTCCTGCAGTAAGCCTCATTTTCAAATACCCTTCCCAGTCTGGACTAGAAGTTCCTCAGAAGAAGTTCACTGTCACAGCACAACCCAAGAGAACTTACATGCAGTGATGAAAACGTTCTGTATCTGTACTGTCACACAGACAGCCACTACCTACATACGCTATTGAGCAGTTAAATGTGGCTGGAGTGACCAAAGAGATCTTGAATTTGATTGAATTTTAATTAATGGAAATTTAAATGAGCACATGTGGCTAATGGCCAACATTGGGAAGCCCCGCTTTAAAACCACTCTTCTCAAACTTGAATAAGCGTACCATCCACTTGAAGATCCTTTTAAAAATGCCCTATCAATTCAGGAGACTTGGCGTGGGGCCGGAAAGTCTGTGTGTCTTAAGCTCCCAGGTGATGTTCATGTTGTTGAGATACAGCTGGTCCACCCATTGCTGCCAGGCAGAAACTAGTATTCTAAGCTGATGTCTGACTCCTCACTGTTTACTTTTCTCTTCCCTCTCCTAAGCTTTCAGTTCTTTGAAAGAACGTGTAGGATGGTCTTTGCAGACCTGGTATTTATACACCGATCTTGGCATGTAAGTTCTTGAACGAAGAAATTAGTGATTCTCCTTTGGTGCCTGGGACGTCACTGTGTGTTAAGTCTGCAGGTAGCTGTAACTGAGCTATATCTCAAATAGTGTCTAAGGGAAACGAATAATCTTCTGACTGCCTTTATCGTAAGTACCAGCAGAGAAGGAATTTTTTTTTTTCAACGTTTATTTATTTTTGGGACAGAGAGAGACAGAGCATGAACGGGGGAGGGGCAGAGAGAGAGAGGGAGACACAGCATCAGAAACAGGCTCCAGGCTCCGAGCCATCAGCCCAGAGCCCGACGTGGGGCTCGAACCCACGGACCGCGAGATCGCGACCTGGCTGAAGTCGGACGCCCAACCGACTGCGCCACCCAGGCGCCCCAAGAGAAGGAATTTTTAATTACCTTTTATAGCACGTAGAAGTCAGGTTCTTAATGTGAATATATGGAAGATGCGTAACTGTTGGAGTTTGTCTATTAAGCATATCAATGCGTTATCTGTGTGACGCCTTAATTCACTAACCTTAACTCACTGGACGAGTTTCAGAGTTTCTTAGCGGTATTTTTATTAATCCTGTTAATTTGCAAACTTTTACTCAGCATGATGTATCTGCAATGTTTTACTGACATAGATCTGTGCTAGGTGGCAAGATCCTAAGACCAGAATTAGAAGACCTCAGTTCTACCTGGTAAAATACCACTTATGAGAACAGCGTTAGCTCTCCAAGCCTGGGATTCTTCATCTTTACAATGCAAATAGTGCTTTATAAATCTGGAATCAGAATAGAAATTCAATTCACATTTGCTCCCCTTCCTAGAGTTCCTTATCAAGAAGGCTGAAAATCACGTAAACGTATATGTTCTGCCATAGGGGAATGATTGTTCCATGATCCACCAAATTTAAATAAATGCTGCTAAAATTGTAAGAAGTCATTCTTTTACTTTCAAAAGAAACGCCACATCTAAAAGCTAATTTTAATTGTTGACAAGTTGTAATTTACAACTACAAATTACAATTGCAAATTACAAATTGTAATTTACAAATTACAATTACAAATAACAATGCCTCGCTTTCATAGGCACCTGTAGGGTCGCCGCCTCCTTTCTATAAATGGTAAGAGGTTACGAGACTTCTCCAATGCCGATTGTCTGAGACCCCCTCCCGCAGGCACAGGACTAGCCACAGAAAGCGACAGCTCTGACCCGCGCGAGGAAACGGACGCCAGCCCACCCCCCTCCCGGCGCCCCGCCCCGCGCTCCGCGCCCCGCCCCCTCAGCCGCCGCCCGCGAGGCGGAAGTGGGAAGAGGCGGGGCAGAGACTCGTTCCCGCCCGCGCCGTTCCGGTTTCCTAAAAGGTCCGCGACCGTGGTATATAAAGGGCTGCAGCCGCAGGTAAGGTACCACACCGTGCGACGACTCGCTACTGCAGTTATGTCAGGTCGCGGCAAGGGCGGGAAGGGCCTGGGTAAGGGGGGCGCCAAGCGCCACCGCAAGGTGCTGCGCGACAACATCCAGGGCATCACCAAGCCCGCCATCCGGCGGCTGGCCCGGCGCGGCGGCGTCAAGCGCATCTCCGGCCTCATCTACGAGGAGACCCGCGGGGTGCTCAAGGTGTTCCTGGAGAACGTGATCCGGGACGCCGTCACCTACACGGAGCACGCCAAGCGCAAGACGGTCACGGCCATGGACGTGGTGTACGCGCTCAAGCGCCAGGGCCGCACGCTCTACGGCTTCGGGGGCTAAGCATTGCACCTGCAGCCTCCGCGCAATCCCAAAAGGTCCTTCTCAGGGCCACCCACTCGGTCACAGGAAGAGCTGTTAACCGAGGAAGGTTTGTCCGTGTTCCCTTTAATTCTGACTGCGGGTGGGCAGCCACGTGACCTGGCCGCGGTCATGTGCGCGGAGCCAGGGGAGGGAAGCCTCAGCTGGGAGAATGCTGCATCCAGTGCGTGTGTTCTGGCCGCTTTATGGCGCGGGCTTTCTCGCCAGCGACTGCACTCTTCTCCATTTTCCTGTCCGGCAGGCAGCTGGCCTTGAGGCCACGCCGGACCTGCCGTGCTACCGGTTTTCTGACACAGAGTTGGTATTTGTCCTCATTGTTAACAGGGCCCACAAATACCACCAGTAAGTTTTAATTGGACAAGTTTGCTAGGTGCATATCCTAATCTGACAGTGATGGCCCAAATTAAGTCTCCATATTCCTCTACTGGCTCCTTCTCATCTCTCTCTATCTGTATGTCTATCACTATCTCTATATATCTATATCTATATCATTCAGTATCAACTTCACCCATACCTCTATCATGCACTACGTCCTTAACATGTTATTAAATCTCCAAGTAATCTTGAGTAGGTCCACGTCTCAGTCACTCTTCATGATTATGTGACTTCACCACTCACTAAAAATACCCTTGCCGAGCGCCTGGGTGGCTCAGGCGGTTAAGCGGTTAAGCGTCAGACTAACTCAAGTCATGATCTCATGATTCGCGCGGGTTCGAGCCCACGTGGGGTTCTGCACTAACAGCGCAGGGCCTGCTTGGAATTCTCGCTTCCTCTTTCTCTGCCCGCCCCCCCACTTGCACGCATTCTATCTCCCCAAAAATAAAGTAAGCTTAGAAAAAAAATACCCTTGCCATGGTTACCAGTGACCTGCTAATTGCCAGATCCAAAATCACACAAAAAACGTCATCCCTGCTACAGCTAATCCTGTTGCATCACTCCTCCCTCCACAATCTCCCAAGTTTCTGTGGTAGTTTTCTTCCTGACCCAGATCCTGTGTTCTCCGTGATTCTTCGGTTTGCTTTCTGGGCCCTATTCCTCTGCTTGTGATTCTTTCCAATGAACAAATGGGTGTTCTCTTCACATCAGACCAGAGCTCCTCCTGGAGCCATCTCTTCCCAAATGTTCCATCGATGGTGAGACATGCAGGCACCCAGAAAAGAACCGAGTATCAGCTGAAAAGTAGCAGAGTAGGCCACCCCAAAATATGGCACTTTGGCATGAGGATTATTTGAGCTAAAGGCACGTGGAAAACAGCAGATGCGAGAATGGGGCTCTGACCTTCCCATTTCTCTCTGAAAGCAGAGAATTATCCCGTGTGAAAGGTGTCACCCCTATATCAGCAAGAGAAGAACGCTTATCACCAGAAATAAGGAGTCAGGGCTGAGAGAAATCTATACAAACAGACCTTGTTAAAATAACCCCTTAACCCCCCTCTCCTACTTTTGTTTTTATTTCATGACCACTAATCTTTATTCACCCTAATCTTTGTTACAACCTAAGTATGTAAGCACTTAGGCCTAACCACTTTTGGGGGCCTTCACTTTCCTGTAAAGACCCCCGTGAACACATAAAAACATTAAATAACATTTGTATGCCTTCTCCTTGTTAATCTGTTTCATGTCAGTTTCATCCTCTGGCCCGGCCAAAGACCTTGAAAGGGTAGAGGGAAGTTACGCCTCTTCTACACAGCCTTCCAATCCTATTCTCAGTGCCTTTGTATGACCGCAGGGTCCTGGCAGTTGTCCGCCTGCGTCCTTCCCAGCTACAATCCCTCTGCCTCGCCGCAGGGACCTGAATGACTACACATTTCATGATGCCATCTGGGCAAGACTACAAAAAATAAAAAGCCTTCACTGGTTCTCCTAACATCTGCAGAATAAAATCCAAGTCTTGTGCTTTACCTGGTCCCGGCTCACCTGCACAGGCCATCTCCAGACCCCTTCCCCCACCCCCCACGGACTTCTCTAGCTGAGAATACGGAACAACTCATCCCACTTGGAACTTTCTTTTCATCAGCCGTCTCCTTTACATATACTTCTTCATCCATAAAGAAACTTCGGTTCTTTTTGGAGGTTTCCAGGATCTTTTTCCTGAACCGCTCACTCGCAGGTTCGTTGCGGGGGCCCTGTACCTAAGGCTAAGGAAACACACAGCCTAACAAGGAAAACAGACAGAAGCTGAGCCTGTCTATCAGAGATGCACAAAAGAGCACTCAGCGGGAGGGAACTCAAAGCGGAAGTCAGAGTTTGGGGGTGTATGTACCTAATTCAGTAGGGAACAGGGAGGCAAGAAGGGCTCTTATGGAAAAGCAAATGACTTTTTGAAAGATACATGGACCCTAAAAGAATAGATGGCAGGTGTGATAGTCTCTGACAAAGTCTATCTGGGTGTGGTACCAATTTCTCCTTTCCAACAAGACACTAGAGTTGCTCCTGAGGAGCAGACGGATTTTGGACAACCGAGTTATTTTGAGAGGATCTGTGCCAAGGTCCAGCCCCAGCAGGTCCAGGGGTTCCCGAGGGATGAACCGAGTCGGCGAAAAAAAATTAAAAATAAAAAACTAAATGGACACAGACAACAGCAGTGTGTTAGACTGGCTGCTTTATTGTAGCAGGGGTGGCATTATATTTGTTAGCAAATTCCTTGTAGCTGTGTTATCTATGTTTCTAGGCATTACCTAATTCTAAAACTGTTCCTTTGTGTGATCACCCATAAAGGAACAACATAGTTATTTTCTTGTAACGTTCCCTCCTGCCCTTTCAAGGTCATCTAGCTCCCGACACCTCAAGTGGAACGTTTACAGGGATAGGACTTTTTAATTGTTTCTTTGAACCATTTGCAGTATAAGGAACAAAGGTATTCGCTTTGGTCTGGGGGTGCCGGAAGGGAGCCAAGAGGGCCCTGGGAACTCAAGCTTAATGCATTCCCAGAGAAACAATGTATGCCTAGGAACTAATGAACCATTCTGTACCTTAACCCACCAGGTCCAGTTATCCTCTGGAATGCCTCCTGGGGGGCAAGCGGGCCAAGGGGTTGGAGTAACTTGTATCCATAGATACGTTTCTTTGTTGCCGGAGTGGAGATTTCCAACCCATTTGCCCCCTCCTTGGCTGGGAAATACATGGGCCCATCCTTCCTTTAGGTAGAGAAGTCTCTATAGGGGGTGGCAAGGGCTGGATGTGGGGCCGCACAATTTCCCCACGGACAGTTTCTTTCCCCAATGGTTCTTTTCCCGGGGGCCTGGTGTGGGCAATTCCCCAACTGACAATTCCCCGGGTACTTTCATTGATAGGGGAGCTGCCCTGACCAACGCTAAGGCCAAATTACATGAAAGCGGGAGCACGAGAAGTTTCACTTGAACTTGTGGGCCACCCTGCAGTCCCCATCTGTCCACCGCCCGGGCCCTGCCATCAGGCTGGTTCGATAGCTGGGCTTCCAGCAGATCTGCTTTTAGGCAAAGAGAGATTTCAGGAACCCAAATGCTTTCAACACAAAATTCATCCTTACGCTTTGTATAAGCGCTTCTATAAAGCAGCATATTTTCGGGGGGCATATCCGGATCCCTTCACCCCTTTCAAGAGAACTTCACCTGATTCTCCCAAGCCAAAAACACACCCCTCCACACCAGTACCCAACACAACTTCAGAGTCCCCTCTCCAACTTTGGTGCTACTACACCCTTAAACAGTTGTTGGTGATGACTAATACGCTTTCCCCTCGAGATTTCTGGAAGGTTTGGACAATATCTTCATCTTAACATTCTCAGGACCCAGATAAATTATTAGCACATGTTATTCACTTAGTAAATATCTGTGCAATGACTACATGATTCAGTGAAATGAATAAGCTATCAAAGGCCACAAATAAACTTTTATACGAATTGCTCCCCTTTAAATAATATTATCTGCCCCCCTAGAACTTTTTCCTCTTACCATTTTCCTTTACACAAATATCAGGCTTGTGAGTGCCAATCACCACAGCAGCCTATTTATTTATTTATTTATTTTAATGTTTACTTTTGAGAGAGAGAAAGACAGAGTGAGAGTAGGGGAGGGACAGAGGTAGGGAGACACAGAATACAAAGCAGGTTCCAGGCTCCGAGCTGTCAGCACAGAGCCTGATGCGGGACTCAAACCCGCGAACTGTGAGATCATGACCCAAGCTGAAGTCGGATGTTCAGCCAACTGAGCCCTCCAGGCGCCCCCCCACCACTGCAGACTTTTAAGATGCAGATTGCAAGCCCTTAATTTGTAATGAAAATAATTTGATGGGTCCCAACCCTAACCCAAAATTTTCTCACAGAAATGCTACTTTCATATGCTTATACGTATTGAAAGCGAGCCAGTTTTTCATCACTGTTTACTGGGATAGCAATTGTTGCTATAGAATTCCTAAACTTTATGTTGCCGGCATGTGTTTATATAAGAGAAAGAAAATAAAAGAGGTATTAGCAGCAGCCTTTTAGGAGGGGGGAGCTCCACATTTGGTTTCTTTTCTTTCTTTTTTTTTTTTTTTGGTAATCTTTATTTTTCAGAGAGAGAGAGAGAGAGAAAAAAAAGAGAGAGCGGGGGAGGGGCAGAGAACGAAGGAGGCACAGAATCCAAAGCAAGCTCCAGGCTCCGAGCTGTCAGCACAGAGCCTATCCTGGGGCTTGAACCCACAAACCACAAGATCATGACCTGAACCAAAGTGGAGGCTTAACCAGGTGAGCCATTCCGGCTCATGTTTCCTTTCTTATGTGTCATGCCAAAAAAAACAAAACAAAACAAAACAAAAAAAAAACAAAAAAAAAAAAACGGTTTTTCAGTTCCGTAGCTAGGGTTACACTTACCTACAATGTAGATTTCCTAAAAGTGTATGGTATTATATTTTTAGCAGATTCACTTATACAGTGTGAAAAATAGCTATGGCAACAGATCTTTTATGAAAATAATCACCCAAATTAATCCAAATTACTTTGAGTGAAAGTGGTATGTT